GTGCAGAGGACGCTCTAGAAATTATAGAGGGTATAAAACTTTCTGGCACGAAAATAACGATACGCGACGGTAGAGGAATACCATCTTTTCCTCTTGCTTCCTCATCTGTCCTCAACGATTTTTTTATTCTTCTTTTTTTTCATTTTTTTTCTTTTAACTCGACTCTTACCACTTTCACATATAGGCTTATTGACTCTTTTATTTGCTATTTCAGAAATCATCACAATTTGTGCTTTGACATTTAGAAAATTTATTTTTGGAAAATATTTTATCTGTGTACCATGTGAGTGGAATTTTTAATTAAATTCAAGTAGTTGGAAAATAGACTATGATTACCCTTATGTCGATAATTATCAATAATAGTGATAATATATCTTGAGTATGGGTAAAAGTTAGGAACGTCTGCCATAGTCAGTAAACTTCAGCAAGATCATTAGCAATATTGAAAGCACTAACCCCGAAGGTATATCGTCGTTATAACAATGGTCTATAACTTGTTTGGCCAGTGACAATATCAAGTCGATAATTCCAAAGCTATCTCCTACATTTTCCTATTCTTTTTTATTTAATGTTATCTTGTTATTATGTACTAAAAAAAAACAATGTCTGTTTTTTGAATTCAGCTTAAAAATAATTTTTTTTTTCCTAAATTGATGAATCTCATGAATAAATGACACTAGTACTATTATTTATTACTGTAATAGAGAAGATTATAAACCGAAAAAATTAGAATAAATGTTTATAATTATCTCGATTGCGATTGTATAATATGAGACAATTTGTCGTGAAATAAATTTTTAATATAATTTATAGTTTACCATAAATAATATCAGGAAATAAATGGTCAAAGTTCTAGCAGATAGACATTCTCATAGTATAATATATTTTTTATGTCATAAATATGATGAATAGGATCTTTTGAAAAATTAGGCAATGTTATTTTGAGAGAACCTTCTATTTAAAAGTGGCAATACATTGATATATCATGCAAAAAGCTCAAATAAAAAATTACTTTTGGATGATAAAACCTCTGAAATTGGAAGGGTCCACATCATTTATTATCATTTACAATCAAAATGACGTTAAAAGATAATTCAATCACAACTTGCTTTTTTTTTTGACGAACATTGACATCTTTAGTAGATAAAATTTTACTTTGAAATAATTTACAGAGAGGAAAAGATTAATTTAAAAAATAAACATATTTTAGTACCAATTTTTATTTAATTTATGATAATGAGACAAAAAATAGTGAATTAAAAAGAATCGGTCAATATTTACTAAAAAAAGAATTCTTAAATATCAATGAAAAGTTGTAACTGTTAAAAGAAAATAAAACACTTTTATGTAATTAAAATACTACATCCTCTATCTTCTGGACCTAAAAGAGAAAAAATTCCGGAAAGGGTGAAAGTAAAATAATAAAAAAAAAATAAATAAAACTCGAGCATGAATTAATTCAAGCTTCAATGTTCATTTTCTGTAATTTTTATTTTATTCTCATTCTTTGCTTTTTTTCAGCTAACGATGCTAGAAGATAATTTACATTCACATAAATTCAACATTTTATGTACCATAAGAATTTGAATAGAACGTAATTGTTCACGTATAATTATTTCATCAGCAATAGAGATTTTTTCTGCCCATATACATACCCATACCCCTTTATATATTTAAATACATAGTATAATCGAATGGAATATATGAACAAGGGCGAAATGTATCGAATATCTAACGTTATATCTTCTCTTGTTGTCAATAACATAATAGTCATTACTCTAGAGTAATAATGAATGTTTGTGAAACATAATTATCTAATTTTATTGAATCATAGAGATGAATAATTTTGTTTGCATACTATCTCTGTAATGATAATAAAAAGTATTATACTATATTTATTGTTTTTGTTTCAATAAATTCAGTAATAAAAAAAAATTGAAATCATTTCGCAAGTCATTCTTTTAATTAGTGTCATTTCAAATTTTGATAGTGAAAAGTGATTGATAGTGTTTATCAATAAATGATGCTTAAATGAATTTATGAAGCTTATAAATGTGTCACAAAGTGTGATAGACCAGAGATCAAATATCAAAATGGTATAATTTATGATAAGATTTTTTTTATTTTATGCATGATAGTTTCATATTGACTTTAAAACTTGATTATTTTTTAAAGTGGGTGAATTTCAAACTTTTTTACATTCTTGTTAAGAAGCACCAATGAGAAAATGGTCGAAAATATCGTTAAAAAGTTCTAAGGGCACCCATTTGGTGAATAAATTGGAAAGAAAGTGAAGTCATGAACAAAAATTTATTTTTACTTTCTTTTTTTAAATTTCAATTTCGCACGTTTTTCTTAACTGTAATTGAAAAAAAAGATCATTTTTAAAAGAGAAAAATGTAAATTAAATAATAAACTTTTATTTTAAGTGATCGATTGAAAAAATATAAAGTGTGGCAGTAGTAATGGATGAGACTTATAAGAAGTGGTACATATTACAGTAAAGTTTACTCGAAACTACCAGCTCAAAGAATGTAACTGAGTAGAGAAAATAAATAAGAGAGAAACAGGAATGTGATAAAATATAAAAGAGTAAATAGATGCAACACATTAGGAATAATGCTTTGGTAAACATTTCGGAATTTATTTATCAACTTAAGTTAGTGATAATATTAATGTTGTAAGTAAAACAGATTCTACAAGTTCAGGTGATATGAGCTACAAAAATGATGAATGAGCTTAAAAAGAGGTCAGGAATTGAAGAAAGTGAAAACCAATATGACAATGTATACTCGTATTCTACAAATCGATAATGGTTTATTGACTCATTAGAATTTTTTCAGATAAATCAGTTTATCTATTCCCTGAAGCATAAATAATGGAATTTTGATAATCGAAAAGTAAACAAAAAATCATCCAAACTAAATTATCATTAAAATAGTCATATCTCCCATTCATTCGAAACATGCAAAAATGAGTCAATGAACCTGAACTTAATTAAACTATCATAATTATTTAATTATTCATAAATATTCTGAATTATCACATGATTTTTAATTTATCAAAAATCAAAAGTTCGATTGAAATATTATTTCTGGGAAACATAAATAAGTTTGCTTATCATTCGCTAACATTTTATGACATAAATTTATCAATTTATAAATTAAATCTTAAAATTAAACACTGCTGCCAGTGTACATTTATTTATATAATAATAAATACCTCGAACAAATATTGAATTATTATAATTAATGAAAAATATATTACGTTTTGTTTTAATATTAATAAGAATTCAAAGAATTATTAATAAATGTTTTTTATCACATTTGATGTGAATATCTATCAATTTACTCGATTTCATTGAAAGTCTTTATTTGTAAAATTTAAATAATAATTAAAGGAATTGAGGAAAATGTTACAGAATATTTTCAAAAGTAGTAGTTTCATTTATATTTAAATATTTTTTTGATTTGATTTATTCACTTATCTCTCTTTATGTGAATTTTATGTGGGAAATTATTTTCATTTGTAGGTTTAATATAATAAAATATAATGACGTTCCTAAATTTATTTATTATACGTCATAAATTTCGAATTCAATTCCATCACATTTATTTAATTAATTTATGGAGAAAATGAATGACTTTGTCATTTAATTTGAACGCAATTATGTTGTTATTAAATTTTGATAAAATTTTATCATTTACTTTTGAAGGTATAATGTATGTTAAACAAATAAGTGCACTATTATTTTTATTATTTAAATGAAATACATGACAAGCATTGAAAAAAAATAAATGAGAAACGTAGTTGGCTGTCATCCCTCGTAAACATTTATTTCAGATGCCTTTAAACAGTTTTCTTATGCCCCTGGGATTGTTGTCTCGTCCGCTGTCTATCATCTTTTTGGATTCCATCCAAATTCGAAGTCCGAAATTTCTCTTTCTCTTTTTCCTATCCTTTTTCTCTGTTACTCAGTACTGAGCAAAAAATTGCATATCTTCTATACCCGTGGATAGCGCAGAGTGAACTGGCGCCGACACTTTTGCGTTCCCATCGCCATCCCCTTCGTTTCTCTACGAATCATCGTGCGATTTTTCATTGTACCATTTCTCGACAAAACTGAGAGCGAAAAATTCCTCAACCACTGAAATCTAGGGCAATACTACGCTTGTTTCCTTTCTAGTCATTTCTCGTATGAGAAAAAGTTTTTTATTTAACAAAAAAATTTTCATTACTCTAATGTAATTAGGTCGAGTTTTTTTTTTTGCAAGTTGCGAATTCCACATTTGCAAGCTTCATGTAATCATCCACATAAAATGTACATTTCTTTCTTGTTACAGAGAAAAACAATCGAGCACTTTTATTAGCAATTTTTTAGGATTAAATTTTTAATATTTCATTTGTTTATGAAGATTGTTATTATTATTTGGTAAAGAAAGATATTTATTTTAAATTCCAGAATTCGCATGTGAATTTATTATGTATTACAAAGCATACAAATAATTTTAAAGCCTCGACAAAAGCTCAATAAAACAATTCACTTTGAAAATACTTGAAGAGATATTTAGACACGAAATAATTTTAAGAATAAATAAGTTTACTTTCATAGCTTTTGTAAAATTGACAGAAGTATAATGACATATTAATTAAAAATTCTTACTATAAACATAACACGACTTAGCTACTACTTGAATTAAATATAAATGAATAAAAATGTACTATGTAGTAATAAACCAACCCTTTAAATTCATGCAAATTTGTGTTAAACAAACCGTTATGAATTTCTTAGTGCGATATTCGTATGTGAATGCAGTAATGAAAATTCTCAAAGAGCATGAAAAGGAGAAAGAAAATATAGGAATGAAAATAAGAGAATGAGGAATTGCAGAAACTCAGGAATTGAATTCATTCAACAGAAAAGGGAAAGAACATCAAGACTTTGTGACGAAAAACCTTTGTCATGCTAATCTAAAACGTGCTTATGCTTTTTGTTCAAGTTTGCAGTCAATTCAGTCGAGGTGTGTTCTCAATGGTGGGTGCTGTAAGTCCGGACTCATTTGACACCCTTCACTCTTACAGCAACACCTTTCAAATGCCTTTCGTCACGCCATGGTTCCCGGAGAAGGTAATACAAACCTTTAATACAATGTCATTATTATTTATACTCAGATATCTAATCATACCTGTTTACTATCAACTCTTACTCTTTACTATTTTTTCAAAAATATTTTTGCAATTCAAATTTTTTATCGATATTATCTTCATCAAAATACAAATCATATTTACAAATATTTTAGAGGAAACACAAAAAAAGCATTTTCAAATATTCTTTGTTGTTATAATTTAATTTTCATCAAAAAATACCGAAACTTCATGTTAAAAGTATTTCATCAATCGAGGATAGCTCTGGAGATGCTAAATTTTTTTCATCCAAAACCATTTAATTAATTTTTGCCATTCAGCTGTTAATAAAAAAAAATACTTCCATTAAAATAATAGCTTTTATAATTGAATATTTAATTCAAGACATTTTCCTTTATTCAGAACACTAAAAATTATGATCACTGTTATTGTTATTATCAAAGAATAAGAAATATTCATTACTCAAGACGTTGAAAATTTTAATTAACATATATGCAAATAGTGCCTGAATATCTCATTAATTCAAGTAATTAGTTAAAAAACTATATAGTATAGATATTATTCAAATACAGTTGATTAAGTTTTGTACGCTAATTATTTATTGTGCCATTACTCAAGTGAAGTTCATAGAATTATCGATTATTATAGTAGCATATCTATATTCTATATCGCAGTACGAGTATATTCATTACTAAAGGATAAATTTTACAGAGGTCGTGCATAAAGACAATTTCGTTCTGCCATATACATATAGGTGGTTATTCAGTTCGAAAATGTAAATTGGAAAACGCGTCATGACTGCGTGCAGAGCTCGATCGATCGACCAATGTACCGGACAATGCACTCGCTGGGATACTGAATAAATTAAATTATTCCCTCTACTTTCCTGATCTCGAAAATATTAATAATACATCTTACAACAGCTCCCCAAAGACATTTTATGAATATTGATGATAATATCTGCTCATTTACATTTTTATTATTTTTTCATCATTCCTATTATTAATAAATACTAATTACAGATTATCGAGATTACTCGTATTAATGTAAAATCATGTTTAATTAATACATCAATTTATTCATTTCACATAGCTCGATAATTTCTTTTTAACTCAAAATAGATACTATGTTTCATATGTCAATCCAATTTAGGTTTTGATATTTGATTCTCAATATGAAATGAACACCATTCACGGTGAAATATAGATTTAATTGATGGATGTAATATGTAGTTTAAATGATAATTTCCATTTACTTTATCATTACTTTTCTTCCATTATTTATTTCGATAGTTATGTGATCCAATAATTTCGATAATCCCAGCTTACAGCTTATTCCTTTCTGCTACTTCTCAAGAATAAAATTGTACAGTTCAATGAATAGGTATATTAGCATATTTTATAAATTATAATATAAATATTTACACTTTTTATATTGATGTAATAATAATGCTTCAATTGTAAATAGGATTGAATAACTTATTACTAATCTATAAAATTAAATGGAGAACGTGATTCTTATTCTGTATTATCAAAGAAGAAATTTAAATAAAGAAAAAAAAACAAGGTGAAATGTAATATTTCAAGATAAATATTTAAGATAAAATTCTTGCATAAGATTGATTCAATCTTAGCAGTAAGAAAAATGGAAAACATGAAAAAAACGAAATGGAATTTGTTATTACAGGTCCTGACACCGTCTTCAGGTTTTCTTGACTTTGCCATAAGCATGCGCCCAGATTACCATCGTGCCATCATCGACACAGTACGACACTATGGCTGGAAGAAAATCATCTACCTCTACGACTCCCATGACGGTAAGTCTCTATCCTCGCATGCATTTCTCATTTTACAGTTCCCTGCTTCTTCTCTTCATCTTAGTTTTCCACAACTATTTTATTCTTTTACTTCTTTCGATCTTCCACAGCCGTACTAGAGACTGTGCAAAGTCTCTTGTCGTATTTTTATGTCTTTCGGACCGTCTCTTGTGGCCAACTTTCTTCTTCGTCTCGATATTAGTTACCTATACAGTCTAGAATACATAATAAATGACAGGTATAGTAAGTAAATCGTGAAAAACTTTGTAAAACTCTTGCCAGTATACACCGAAAACTACAGATCTTTTTTCAAATTTCATTTCCAATCTTTTATTTTTACGATCCTACTACTTGCTTTGAAATGTTTATCTAATTCTACCTTTACACTCTGAGTTTGATTGAACGTACTCTAGTTTTATTTCTTCACAGAATATTTATTACTTTCATGAGTTTTATTTATTGATTTTTGTAAAAAAAAAAATATATTTATTTAGATATTCAGAAAATGAAGAAAAAGTTGTTTAACATTGATCATAAATATTAATATAAGATTATTAATTAATTAATTGAAAAATATTTGCAAGTAAAACAATATCTAACAGTCAATAATAGACATTAAAATGATTTCGTATATTTATTCATGGTGGGTACAGATTTATTAATGAATCATACATGATACATCATAAATACTCCTAATTAAAAGTTTATTTAAAGATAATATGATCCCTCTCTTTTGTCATTCATTTTGTTATTTTCTTTTTGTTAATTATTGCTAAATAACACCGGGCTTTGATATCAATAGGTATTGTTTATGTTGGTGGTAAAAGCTTAATTACTCAATCCAAATATTGATAACCTTTTACGTTTTTTTAGAACGAGGTTCATAATTAGAAATAATCTGCTATCTCTGATTGAACTTAGTCTACATGATTTTTTCACTGGATAGTTATCGAAAATTGTAAAATATAAACTCACAAGAAATAAGTAATTGAATTTAATTAAATATAATTTATTACTAGACAAATTGATGATCTAGAATTTTATAAGCTACTTTTTATCAATGTAATAAGTAATTATTTTCATTATATAAAAATTTGAAAAATTTGCTAATTTATTAAATGTAGTCTTAATAAAAACTTGTATTATTGTAAATTCGATGAATAATTCAAACTATTTTTTTACTTTTTGCTTACATAATTGCTTAAAAATGTTTTAAATCATGTGCAAAAGATAAAGAAACAATTATTCCAATTACCTTCAAGTAATTGTGTTTTTTTTTTTCATATTCCTTTTTATTTATCTTTTATTCTAAGAAAATAACTGAAGAAATATTTTTATTTCATAATTCTTGAGTTTTCGTGGTATAGAAAACTCTTATCCTGTATCATCCTTGGAAGTCGAGTCATTTCGTTAATTTATGCATCTAATAAGTCAGGCGAAGGTTAGACATAATTCATGTCTTTAGCACCTGTTCAACATCATTAATAAATATTATTTCTATTCTAATAAAAATAATTACTATCATTTGCTAATACTCATCAATTCAACACTATAAATTCATATTCATAAATAATTATAAAAAATAACCAATAACATACTCAAAATCAATCCCAAATTAATTATAAATAAAAAAATATATTTTCAGCTTTTTTATTTTTGGAATAAAAGTGTTGAGTTAATAATTGTCATGTTATCAGGGAAGATTATCAAAGATGATGGAATTCAGGGTTGTTCATGATGATATTAATTATCACATATTGCTAAGAAATGACAATAAAACCGTAAAATCTTATAAAAAAATATTGACAAAGGTAAGAAAAATATGTAATGATTAACTTAATAAGATTGAGATTTGAAATAATTAGATGAGTTACATGATGAGTCCCAAGTGGGAAAGAAATGACTTATAGCAGTGGGGATAAATAAAATTTCCTTCACTTTTATCTATGTCAGTTACAGTGTTCGCGTCCCAGCCGTGAATTGCACTTGAATGTCTGCCGTTAGTGACATTCACTCAGCTTTATACCCAACATTAATATTCAAGATACAATAATGATATACTAGTTTATTTAGCGAATTTATTCAGATTAATAACAGTGCAACGATAAAAAATTCTCTGAAGTTGTTTGTGATGCTGTAACTAATTTATTCTATTTTATAATTAAAGGTAATGATTAAATGAAGTATAAATGCTGTGAATAATACAATAATTAACAATCTTACAAGTAGAATTTTTAATCAAGGTCAAATTTATTTCTCAAAGTTTTTTGTTTGTTACGTCAATTAACAACTTTATTTTCAATTAAATAATTGCTGCGGATGTGGTAATTGAAATATGTTCCCTGTGATATTTTTTCGTGATTGAAATTGATGCAACCAAGAAACGGATTTTTTTAAGTATGTCGATTACTCAGTGCTCGTTATATTTTTTCCTGTTTTTCATTGATCCCTATAATTTTTATCATCAGTAATTAAGTAGCATGTAATTAACTCTTTACATGATTTCAAATCATGTAGAGCAGTATCGTATGATTCAAACTATAATAACAAAGTGAAAGTGTGTAATTAGAATTATTTAATAGCTTATTTATAATTATTTTTATTAGTTATACCCATGGTTGATACAGATATTCTGTGACCAATTTTAAAAAAAAGAAAAACTTTTTTACTTTGACATCAGTTACCATTCGATCGTTCCACAAATTTCTTCAAGTTACTTAAATGGAAGAATCGTGTTTGTTTTTTACAAACTTTAGTTTGTTCTGACGAACGTTAAGTCCAAACTTTCTAGCTGTCACTCTAGAAAAGTGTAGATTTTTAAAAAAGAAACGAAGCAAAAAATATTGATGAAATTGACTCATATCCAGTAATATGACATGATATTGAACCAAAACGAATGACACTGCTGTTACATGATATGAAATTTAATTATTACCAATAGTTTCATCGTTTATCAAACGTCACAAATATTTTTATTTCATATAATTGAGTTAAAAAGTTATCATTTTTTCATTTTAGTAACATTAAATATCAATAACATTCTCCTAAATTTAAATTAAAATTATTCATCACAATAAATATCAACAAACAAAGAAATTTCCATAAAATAATTATCATCATCAATAGTTAATTAATTTATTTGGTGTACAAACCCATGCATTAATTACAAAGATTTCGATTTCTGTAGGATTGTTTCCAATGCTAGCTTCAAAATGATCTATCCAAGTACTAATTTGAATTCAAGCTTAATAAGAATGATTATCAATCTCAATCACAATACAATCATTTGCTAAGTAATAATATTCAAAAATACGCAAGTAGTTTGTCTTATGAATCCAAGATTAAAACGTACAGTAATTAGAATAATGATAATAACAATAATGAAGCTTACAATTAGCGACTATTTTACTTATTCTCTCACTACTGAGAGCCTTGGGATAGGAAGAAGAGAAGGGTCAATTTCGTAGGGAACGCTTGCGGGTATAGAAACAAAGGTAACTAAGCTCATGGCACGTAGTGATTGTACTTTTTGCTTAATTAGTATTTCGAACGAGAAAGCACGATCACAAGAGTCAGCCGCGAACTTCCACCCTCGCCCAAGAACCAAACGATTTAGTCCAAGCTAAGTTTCTACTCTGATAGTAGTCGAGCATGCTGGTAGCTCTTCTGGCGAAAACGTACGAATAGAATGAGACTTTGAAATTCCAACATTGCAACAACTCCTTCAAGAACTTTGACTCTTCCATTAGATCCATATCAACTAATTTCCGATTCTAGGCCTCACCAAGAGTTTACTCTATCGTCATATCACATGTGATATATAATTAATACAGTTTTCTTGTTTATCAGTGTTTTTAATATTATGGCATTGATTACTACTAATTTTCATTCTTATAGAAAATTTTTTTAAACGAAATATAAATGAACGTAATAAATGTCGTTATGATAATGTTGTTCTAATGACATTACTATGTAGCAAATTTCATTAAATTGATTTTTAATGTTTTCATCAACCTAAATGAAATGACAAGCATTTTATTTAATTCTGGTAAAATAAAATAGAATTAACACAGGAAGTTCAATGTGATGGTGTAATAAAATGATTATTGATTTAACATTGAATAATTATAATTTAATATGACAAACAAAAAATATCGTTATTTCAATAAAAATTATTACATTTTTCATTTATAACAACTGATTTCCGTTCGTTCTCTTTTCATTGTTACGACATAAAAACTCAAATATTCACTCGACCTATAAAAAAAGTTGGTTACAAAACCATTCAATTATTCTATGAATCCATCAAAATGTCGAGATATTGATAAAAATTAACCCAAATTGAATAAAAACTCTGTAAACGTTTAAAAAAACTCACTCTTTAATCACTTTTGTTTTACGTGTTACAATAAATTGATAACTAACAATTCCAACTTATTTTTCATCTATATTTATTGCGAGTGACTAATTACATGAATCTGATAGGGATCTACAAATTAGCGATAGCCCTGAGCGTTAACCAGAACGCGTGGCTGTCGTTTGACCGTCGTAAATTCAAGTTAAGGCAGTTGGTCCAGAGTGGACTGGGGTGAACTGGGGGACTCGCTAATACCGCATACATTGTATTACTGGGCCATAACTGTCGCTCTGGGAACTGTCCGCTGTACCAGCAAGTACATGGACAAGAGAGAGAGAGAACAAGAACATGTCACAAGACCAAGTAGACTCGTATGCCAACCATGCGTGTCAGATAGAGTTGTTATATACCGTCGCGTGTCCCAACCAAGAGATATGTGGGTAGGAATCCTGTTAAGTCACCCTTTTGCCCTCTATTACCCATTCTCCCTCGCGACCTCGCGACTTGGCATTAAGGGAGAAGGAATGAAAAACTGGAGATCTTAACCCCTGAACATCTTGAAGGGTCCAATTTCAACTTAATTTTCGAGAAATAAATTTGATCATTCATCAGTAAATTAGATATATCTTCAATTATCGCTGAATTATTGGATTTAATGAAATATTAGGATTTTTATTAAAAAGAAGTTTATTGAACAAATGATATTATCTTATAGAAAAATGAACAGTTGAAAGATGGATCAAGAGATTCGGCATCAAATATTAATTGGCTTAGTTTGTAAGTATTGGAATAGTTTTCTGATAATGAAATTTTACAAAAATATTTGAATTTCATTAATTATTGATTGAAAATTATCAGGTAATTTATTGATCGTTGATTGTGGTCTACATGAAGGATGGGCAACAATAACACTTCCAAAATTTGGAAACGAGGATCCTCTCGAATTAACATCCAATCAACAAGTTCTTTTGATCAATTTGCTTTATGTTGGCGTTGGTCTAGGATCTCTAGCTCCAGTATTTTTAATGGACAGGTATGGAAGAAAATGGACTCTGCTGGCAGCAGCAGTACCTAAAATTTTCAGTTGGATTGCTATTGGTTTAGCAAATAGTCACATGACACTCTACGCTGCTCGACTGTTAGCTGGAGTAGGTTGTGGAATCTCTTACTCTGTAATGCCAATGTATATTGGAGAAATCAGTACAAAAAGAACACGAGGTCCTTTAGGAACGTTGCAAACTGTACTAATTAATATTGGCGTCCTTCTCGTTTACTCAGTTGGCTTGCATGTAGAACGTTTCACTATGGCAATGATGTCTCTAGTCGTTCCAGTCCTTTTCATCGTAACTTTCATTTGGCTTCCTGAAAGTTCTGTTTATTTAACACGAAAGAATCGACTCGTCAGTGCTGAAAAAACGTTAAAGTGGTCTTTAGGGAAGGAAAATGTCGAGGAAGAGTTTGAGGAAATCAAGAGGATTGTTGCTACTGAAGACGTCGTAAAAAAGATTGGATTTTGCAAATCACTAATAATAGGTATGAAGTCTCCTGCTAATCAACGTGCTGCTGGAATTATGCTAATCGTTGCTAATGCTATGTCTCTCACTGGAGCTGCACCTATTCTTTCCTATCAATCGTTTATTTTTGAAGAAGCCAAGTTTGAGATTGGTGCTAATGCAGGCATTATCAGCACAGGCTGTGCCATAGTATTAGCTGGAATGGCTTGTGTAGCAATGGTTAAAAGATTTGGAAAGAGAAATATCCTTCTGTATGGGACACCAATAGCTATTCTGAGCTTAGCAACAACTGCTACTTATTTCACTTTAACATCTTATCAAGTGAATTTAGATCACGTCAACTGGATTCCCATGGTCTTTGTTGTGATTTACATTGTTGTATTTGGTCTATCATTTAATCCAATGCCTTTGGCTTACCTTGGAGAATTATTCTCATTTGAAATTAAAGCTGCTGCTGGAATCTGTACCTCTTTGTATTATGCATTATCAACAATTGGAATTATCAAGCTATATCAAGTATATTTCTATTTATTTCCTTTTATTTAAAATTTTTTTTATTTTTTTTTAATTCTGTTTTTTTTTTTTTTTAATCTAGGTATTACATGATTCCTATGGAACACATGCTCCATTTTGGTTATTCACGGTAATAACTCTGATTCTCTGGATTTTTATTTACTTATATGTAATGGAGACTGAAGGAAAAACTCTAGAAGAAATTCAAAATGATTTATACCGAGTTGCAACTGAGAAAAAAAGAAAGTCTGTTGTAGGTATAAATCCGTTGAATAAAATTCATTTAGAATCTACCTCTATTAATTCAACTAAAGTATAAATAAACGTGATTTTTTGTGTGTTTTGAATTTATAAAAATTAAAGTTAGTTATATTGTATGAATTGATGAATGAATGAAAAATATGAATGATCTATTGTATTTCAATAAATCTTTTAGTTACTTTTTTATTCATGTTATTTCATAATTTAATTACATATTAAATTTGTAATGTGTGAATGTTGTAATTATAATAATAAAAAACATAAAAATTAGTAAATTTTTTCCAGACTAATAATTTTTAATGCTATTTGGCGCTTTTAAAATTTATTTTTCTCATATTTTCGTCCCGGCTAAACAATAATTACATAGTATAATTAGTTTGTTGCATAATTAAATGAGTTTATATTTACACAATACATGAATGTTATTATATAAATCAATCCATTGGAAAACAGTAATAATAATTATTAAATTCTATGAATAATTACTACATAAATGAGATTTCCTACCTTAAATACGTTACAGTTGGTAATATCTAAGGTTCTAAATGTGTATGTGTAGTTTAAGTATAAATTCGACTTCAGCAAAACCTTGCATGACGGCAACGATTTACAGAGCAATACAAAACGAATGCTTAATCAGGGCACCTAATGTGATCACTATCGTTATAAAACCAAGAGGTGGCGCATTAGAGAAGCTCACTCCCACTCTTAGACCCTAACAGAGCAGAGCTTGAACAGCTCGTAACTTAATCCATTCCCTTGAGAGAGCATCAACGTCTTCCTTCACCTATATCACCATCTCATTCCTCTCAAGATGAGTATCTGCGTTGCTCTGGAATCCATGGATCTCCAAATCCAATTGACATTCCCATATTTGATCAGCAATCCATTCGACTGATGTAGACATATTCCATTAAATTTAGATCAGTTAGAGTTACGTAGAATCTGAATGATTCAAGTATTATGTTATTTTAAATATGAATACATAAATATTTCATTATTTTTTAATTCTCGATGAAAATTGATTACTATTGAAATGAAATTTAATATTTTCAGATATTTCATTTCAATTTTAACTAGGAAGTATTGGAAAAAGAATAGTATTCAAATACTACGATATGTAAACTAGATTCATTCATGTTTTTGATCAAAACAAATAGTTTTTTAAAATTATTCTACCCTAATTTTATCAAGTCAATTATTCAATGGAAAAATCTAAACGAAAGCATGGATCGATGCCTCATTGAATCAAAGAGTTTCAAACTTCCATTTAGCATCATATGACCTAAATGAGGGAGAAACTTTGTAGCAGTAGGTACGTTTCTGCGATACGATTCATAACAATATATGAATAATTGATGCGAAAATTAGCTTGTCTTAAGATATTGCTATCTTCCATTTAACGTTTATTTATTAGGTATCACTTCCATCTGCTTTACTCTACGGACTGATTATAATAATAGCTTTTGATAATTCTCAGCTTGCTGGAGTGATTGGCCATCATAAATGTCGATTGATGTAAGTCAGCTATGCTGTCAATTTCATGCACCATTAAAACAGACCTTTACTCACAACACAAGGTATTAAACAGATTAATTAAAATCAATGTTACTGATCATATGAGTTTGTATAGAATGAAATGGAAAAAAATATCTATAGAGATGAAAGGAATATGACTGGTAGTCAATTATTGAAGTATTCGATTTGAACTATTTTTTGTCTTCAGCTTTGTAACTTTTATATCATGTTATCATGGCGGACGTTTTCATCAGTTGCAAGTGGCAGTACATACATGTGGATGTAGGTGTAAACAAAAATTGCAACTGAAATGCAGACAGGAAAAGAGAGAGAATTGCATTTAAATTTATGAAAATGCTAACTAGAACTGTCGTTCACATACACCTGCCATCGGTTTTGAAAGAGCATCTATTTCATTTTGCTTTCATGAAATAACTCGCTTCTTCCTCGACAATAAATTTATTTATTATTATGCCTTTAATTTTTCCTCTTTTACTGTCATTATTTTTTATCAAAATTATGCTATCTAGATTATTAATAAAATATTTTTAAGATTTCTTGGTAGATTGAAATTTTTTTTGCAGTCTACATCACTGAATAATAATCTTGTACATCTACTACAATTATAAATAAATGTAAACTTTCGATAGCAGATATTATTTTGTAAGCTTAAATCTGAAATTCATACATTATTGTAATTATTTATGAATTGACATCTTGATTTTAAGACAATAAAAAAATCATTATTTTCTGACAAATATTGTAATCAATATTGTAATTAATTATTAATTTTCTATACTTAGTATTTTTTTATTTTATGATCATTTTTAGAAGTTTATAAAAAATAACAATAAAGTATTTTTAGTTAATGATATGATGAGTTAAATATTTAAAAATCATAAAGAGAAGTATACATTTTTGACACATAATATGGGTTCATTTTGAACCTTTGAGTCTTCTCTTCTTTGAACGTATGGACATTAAAATGGTTCATATTATTTCGAAATATTTTCTCTGCAATATATTGGGCGTAATAGTCATCCAAATACCTCTATAACAGTAAGAAATATATTTTAAGATTAACATTTTATATTTGGATCAAGAAATCATCATAAATATAGTATGAAAAAATCTTGATAACTTCACTGGACTTGTTCATAAGATCTTCAGTTTATTTTAAAGCTATAATACAAAGTCTAGTTAAAAATTTGAGTACATAAAATTCTAATTTACTTCGATTCATGTATTCATTAAACAACAGTCAACACCAATAACATGATTTCATTATAATAGAAATCATAAACACTACAAAATCAAGCTTTAATAAATGTTTACAAACTAAATAATAATATCAAAAAATAATTACATGAGAGTTATCTATAAAATAGAAGCATTGTTTTCATTGAAAAAATATTACTAAATATTTATAAATACTTGCAGGTATATTTATACTTTTCTTATAAGAGAAAAAAAATTATAAGGATTTTTTAAAAGTTAGAAATAACTTGAACTAAAAAAAGTTTATTTACTATCATTTTTATATAAATTATCTAATAATCATTTATGTAAAATATTTTATCCATTTTTTTTTTTCAATAGAATTTATATTAACATAATCTGAACGGCTTTCTAAATATTTTTTATTCAGGAAAGAATAGATAAAAACAAAAGGAATAAAAATAAAAACAAGTTTAGTGTATTTAAATTATGTAAACTTTCAGCATAATACAAAATGCAAATATGCAGATGACTTCATATTTTCATTTTTCTTTTTTTACTATGAATAAAGTATGTGGCCTTGTATGTATTGTAGAAGAGATACAGAGCAAGCAAGAGGCAAGCAAGATTTATTTTTTATTTTCTAATTTTCAAAATAATACCAAAATTATAAATAGACTATTATCTATAAAACAACAAATTATAATGAAAAAAAAAACACGTATATGTCAGTAGACAAGGAAATCTCATTACATTGAACATTGAAATGAAGGCCGTAAAATCATTAGCAAGTACAGATAATCGTCGTCATAATAATTGGCGTGATGATGACAATGTCTCAGTTCTCTACCGTATTCGGAATGTCGTCAAGTCGTCACTGTGTTAAATTATTGAAGAGAACGCTTACTCCTGTCCTTCATATTCAGAATCTTCCTTTAATATGTATTATGACTCCAGAATTCCTCTTTTACGTAAAATACGAGCTTGAAATACTGTATAAAAATGGACCGAAGATGATGGAGGTCGGATGTTGCAGAAAAGTGTTCCATAAAAATGCATTTTGATTCTTCAGAGTAACTCAGAGGATATATAACCGTTTTATGCTTTCCTCAATTTTTTATGAACAAGTGTAAAATAAACATACGAAAATATGGAAGGATTTTTGGCATTAATTATTAGTTTGAAAATGGAAGTAATGATGTTAATGTTGTTACAAGAATGATAAATATTGGATTTATTTAAATGATTTCATTTCAGACGAAAAACGAATATTTATGAAAATGAAAAAAATGTTTTATTTCTCGATGAAGAGATATAGTAAAGTTGTGATGATATATTTAATTGTGTAAATTAGTTTTAATTATCTGAAAATATTTTAATTAAAATTGTATTCCAACTTCAAAATAGTTGTATGCAATTAATATGAAGATCTCTTGTGTGAGATAAAATGATTATATAACACATGAGTACAATTGAGAAATATATTTTACAATCATGAAATGATAATTGTAAACAACAAGTTAAATTTGTGAACGTATACAAAAGTGGTTGAAAATAAACCGAAATTTAATTAATTTTGGACAACTCAAATCCACAATGAGGATAGCTACACTAATGATTTTTTACGTTCAATTAGAGTCGAATGCTCATTGTCTACATTTAGCAGGCGTCACAAGTTGTAATTGGATAAGCACATAGCTATTACCTCCGTCCAAAAATTTACCATCAGGTCAAAGGGAAACGCCCTCGGAATCAGTCTGAATCATGTGAATCTCCATTGCACACACAATCTCTCGTTTCTCGTTAATTCATGCAAATGTTCGGGTTCGACATTGTTGGAATAGGAATCCAAGCTGTACGTTGTCATGAATGAAGCAAGTGATTCGAAAATTTATCAGTGATGTAAACGAGCTTGATGCCACTGTTTGAATTCATTCTACTTCAAAAAAAAATCTTCAACTTATATTTGATTATATTTTCCCTTAATTGGTCTACAATCAGCTGAGACGTACAAATTAATTAATACCTTGATTACTATGATGGGAAACTCTTTTAATTGATTTCCATGTATTTCTTAAAGTTCTAGAATATTTGAAATTCTTCATCGTGATAAATGAGTACAATATAATGCAAATAATTGAAAAAGGAAATTTAAGGCTTTCTTCATTTGAGTATTTAAGGTACAATTATAATGAATAATTCTTCTTCACGAGATTTTTAACAGCAAATGGATTTTTTTTATTTGGAGATGAAATTTTCTTTCATATTATCTGTCATTCTAGCATTGTTAAAAGAAAATTCTAAGAAAAAGTATTCGAACTAATGTTAACGATGAAAATAATGTTTCAGGATGTTTAAATGTATAAAACTTTATTTCAATAATGATAATGATCGAAAATGCAATTTTTTTCAAATTTCAAAACATTACTTTTGTCTCAAGGGTGCAATTACTTGTACTTTAATGCTGAGATTCTCGAAGAGTTATTCTCCTTGTCTCAGCACTGATTCTCTAAGGAACTCTAGGCATAGATCTAAGAGAAACCACAAGCAGCTTCTACACTAAAGTGCGAAGGACTATAAACTCTTGTGTGCACCACACTAGACAGATTTCCTTATATTTGTCGTCTTGACATACCAAAAGTCTTTGCTGACTATCATTTTGTACTGATGTATTTTGTACTATTCAAAGTACATAGAGAACTTGGTTGACATGCAAGGGACACATTTAGATTCGATCCTTGTCTTGAGCTGAACTAGTGTGTCTTACACTTCGAGATATACTCGCGAATAATTTACAGCAAATTAAATTACTTGATAAAATCGATAATGAAATCTTTGGAAATGTCGTATTATTTTATAATAATTCTGTTTCACATTATACTGATAAAGAGTTTTATGCTGATGCACTCAAGTTTATTAAAATATATTTCAAGACAGTGTTAGATTTTAATGGAAATTAACAATGAATTCATTTCAAAGCAATTTATAAATTGTTTTTTAATATTTCATGTTGAACTAAAATTTATTTTCAGTTAAAACTAATACATCTTTAATCATTCTGTTTCACGTTTTTCAATCTAGAAATTGCCAAATCCACTTTAAAAAATTACAATACCATAATAAATGAATTTTAATAATTTTTCTCCATTTAATAATGCATCAAAAATTCCTTTTTGTTTTTGATCTCCGGAAAAAAACAATTCTTTTAATAATCGCTAATTGGAAAATTAATATCGAAGTGCATCTTCTTCAATGAGAAGAAGTATAAAAAAATAATATGAATAGAAGGAAAAGAGTCGCGATAATGAAGGCGACGCCTCACGGCAATCCCTAGGGATAAAGGTAACTCTCATCGGCCAACGCCACGGATTTTCCGACGAACTTCGTTCCGGATTTTAAAATATTTTCCTAGGCTCCCGTGGGGACTTCCGATACCGATAAAATTCCTATGCTAGGAGACATAGAGAAGAGAAGATTCTTCTTAAAGAGTGTAGCTGGGTTGATAACTACGGCGAAAAAGTTTTAAACAAAAAGATAAAAATCGACCTCTTTCTAGATAATTTTAAATTATCAAAGAAGACATTCTTTTGATATAGATTTTTAAATTAAAAATTATTACACTTCCTTTTAGAGTCTATTAAGATATACTCCACTTTCATTAATTTCAATATTTATCTTCTACATTTTTTTTTAATCATCCAAACTAATTTTTTCTCATTTTTGAATTTTAAAAAAATTCTACCTTTAGTTTTTTAATTCGCTCTACTTTGAAAGAATTTATCTCACGTTTTTTAACCATTCTGAATAGATGTATGTATATTTGTAATCATAATTTACTGAATTCTTCGCAAACTTTTTTTTGTTACAATAATGGAAAGAATTAATAAATATATACGAACTATGCATGAACGAAATTTCAAAAAGTTTTTAATTAACTTCATGTGCTAATAGATTTATAATAAATTTTCTCTGGACGTGTTTTAATAGCATGTTTGAAAGTTTTCATCATAAAATTTAAATCAAATTTTCACAATAGTCTGTTACTGTTCAGGAAACTCAATATAACAAATTTTTGATCGAATTTTTTCGAGTAGGATTGACTCAAAATTATATGAACTTTTATATCAAAGTTAGTATGCAAAAAAAACCCAGCGGCAATCATCCGAAACATGCGTAAAAGAGTGGAAGCGAAACTGGCTCTTTGTTCTATGTTGGTGACTATTATGTAATGTCTATGCAAGCGGAACTCTGAACTCGTTAATCTGGCCATCAGTATCACTTTACGGCGTAGAAAAAACTGCCCTTGGGCAGTAGACACATGAAATAAACAAAAAAATTGTTGCATGCGACATATGTGGAAGATTTTCATAGAAAAAAAAATTCACATCTTACATTTTTACTGTCATTAATTAGATTGATTACGTTTCTGTTTTAAGTAGAAAGCTGTGAGTTAATTCATCATATAGATATCAAACTATGTCAAATAAAAATTAACTTGCTTTAATTGTTGACGGAGCAAGTATATTTTTATAAATACCCATATGAACAAATTTAGGTCCCCAACGGTTCTCCGGTAGAGAAGTTCTGTACAGTTTGAGAAACTGCAAGACATGAGAATGGGCATAATTTTTATTCTAATAATGCTATGAGGTTGATTGAGGGCTCAAATGAAAGATCTGGACAAGAGGGAAAAAGTGGATATAGTTAAGATCCCAATTGGAGCCTGATTGATGCTAAAATTGAAGAAAGTTCCCGTTTTACCCCATTTTAGGGGTGAAAAAATTAATTTTTTTAAAGTTTGACCAGATTCCGCATTTCCACGCATCAAGACGAAGAGAATGAGTGGTCAATCATCAAAATCGGACAACTTTGATTTTTCGACCCCAAAAAATGGCAAGTGGTACCCCTTTCCATTTTTTTTGGCCCAAAAAATAAAAGTACTCCGATTTTCGAGTTTGACCACTCATTCTCTTTCTCTCGATGCGTAGAAATGCGGAATCGGGGCACCGGTCGAGAAAATTCACTTTAACACCCTCAAAATGGGGTAAAACTGGATACACATTAAAAATTATCATCCCCTTGACTTAAAACCCCTATAACTCATGAACAGACGGTCCAACAATCGTTTTTACGGACGTTTTAGAAACTTAAGAATCTGAGCTGAATATCCATATTCATAAAAAATGTTTAAAAAATTTCCTTCGCCTTTAAAATAGCTAAAATATAAAAAAAATCGCATTTTTTTGGGAAGTTGCCAACTATTTAGCCATTTTAACGGTGAAATAAATTTTCTTTTAGAGCTTTACATGGATATGTATGTTTAGCTTAGATTCTGAAGTTTTTAAACACCTCTCTGAAATCATTATTAGATGCATTTTGTGAGAGTAATAGTAGTCCAAAGTCCAGTAAAAGACAAAAAAACACGTAGCTAGATCTGAGTTTTTACCCTCTGATCGTTTGATCTTTATAGTCAAACGTAGTGACTTTGACTGGACTACTATTACTCTCACAAAATGCATCTAATAATGATTTTCAAGAGGTTTTTAAAAACTCCAGAATCTAAGCTAAACATACATATCCATGTAAAGCTCTAAAAAAATTTATTTCACCGTTAAAATGGCTTAAATAGTTGGCAACTTCCCAAAAAAATGCGATTTTTTTTATATTTTAGCTATTTTAAAGGCGAAGGAAATTTTTTAAACATTTTTTATGAATATGGATATTCAGCTCAGATTCTTAAGTTTCTAAAACGTCCGTAAAAACGATTGTTGGACCGTCTGTTCATGAGTTATAGGGGTTTTAAGTCAAGGGGATGATAATTTTTAATGTGTATCCAGTTTTACCCCATTTTGAGGGTGTTAAAGTGAATTTTCTCGACCGGTGCCCCGATTCCGCATTTCTACGCATCGAGAGAAAGAGAATGAGTGGTCAAACTCGAAAATCGGAGTACTTTTATTTTTGGGCCAAAAAAAATGGAAAGGGGTACCACTTGCCATTTTTTGGGGTCGAAAAATCAAAGTTGTCCGATTTTGATGATTGACCACTCATTCTCTTCGTCATGATGCGTGGAAATGCGGAATCTGGTCAAACTTTAAAAAAATTAATTTTTTCACCCCTAAAATGGGGTAAAACGGGAACTTTCTTCAATTTTAGCATCAATCAGGCTCCAATTGGGATCTTAACTATATCCACTTTTTCCCTCTTGTCCAGATCTTTCATTTGAGCCCTCAATCAACCTCATAGCATTATTAGCATAGAAGTCATGCCCATTCTCATGTCTTACAGTTTCTCGCCAATATATCATTATTTCATTAAGTAAAAATTTAAAGAAAAAAAAATTTTGTTTTCCATATGTACCCCATAGTCCCACGAGAGGAACGTCGGGGAACCGTTGGGGACCTAAATTTTTTCATACGGGTATGCATGCATTTCATTACAAGTGAATTCTCATAGTAATCATTATTTAAATGGAATTTATTTATCGAAATAAAAAACTTCAAGTTAATATGCTTTATTTTAGTCAGACATATCGATGAAATGATCGTCTTTATTTACAAAAAAAAAGTGTCTTATTTTCATTCTTAATTCCACAGTAAATTTCTTCTGTTACTACTAGATGTATTTATGTCTATGGTTTTTTAGAAACAAAAAGGAAATAATTAGACAACGTTCGCAAGAAGTAGAGAAATTCATTTGACAGACACAAATGAATACTCTGTTAACGTTCTTTTGACATTTGATTCGGTTGGTAAAGCTCAAAGTTAACTTGGATTTTTGTTCTCTTGAATTTTCTTCTGTCATTCAAGTATCTGATGAGTTAATACTATTTTAACAAGGACTTTGTGCAAGAATGAAAATCTATAGATACATACAAGAATGCCGTATTACATTTGAATACGGAAAAAAGACAAAAAATTACCGGAGATTGTTTTCCAAGCGTAACTAATTAAAACTTTGCTGTAAATTGTAAATAACTACATTTTTCAATTATCTTCAAATACACCAGTTTCTACAGAAAAGAAAAAAAAAACTTCTTTCAAGTGTCTCATTGACAATTATTCCACGTAATGAAATTACTTTATAAAATTTTCATTACAATACTTGAACAACAAAATAAAAAAATAATGAAATACTGATTTTCTTGCATAATAATGAAAGTTATATTTTTTTCCAGGATTATTGAGACTTCAGCAAATTTATCAAGGATTACGTCCAGGAAATCAGTCCTTTCAAGTGGAGACAGTGAAAAGAATACAAAATATCTCAGATGCAATTGACTTTTTACGAAATTTGGAGGATTTAAATAGGTGAGTAATAAATGTAATCTTCAGAAATAATTAGGTTGAACATCAGGAAACGTAAACCACAAACATATGAAGTAATTCTGGATAACAATTAAATAGTGATTAACGAAAGACATGGAATAGAAGCTAATTAACTAGCTTGAATGTGACTTGAGATGGTAAAGACGTGGAGGAAGACAGGTACAAATGTCAGAGGGAAGTGAACTGAGTTTGAGCCACAAGAATTGCCACAACATCGGTCATGGGTTCGCTGCAATTTCTACAATAGTCAGAAAGCATAACCAAGGAACAAGAGACCAAAGAGAAGTTGAGTACACATAAAGGAAATTGAGACTAAGTCATTCCACTAATTGTATCTAACGCTACATGCTTGGAATGCAGGAACAGTTTGATGCAATGTTACTCAAGGACAATGTTTGATGAGTTCAACATCAATAAAATATCCAGTTCGTTTATCATTCAGCAGTGAACGAATTAAAAATTCAAAAATCAATCAAAATTTACTTTCATCTTATGTCCTATGTTGTGGTAGATTACACTTAGACATTAGCTCAACGTTAATAGCTTCTTAAGAATGTTAAACTAAACTAAGACGGCTATTGATCCCGGTTCTATAAGTTGGAAATCGAGTTTCCTAATTTGGGAATTATTAAGTCTTGAAGTAACCTGTAATTTATGATGAAATAGTAGTTTGCAGCTTGTTGCTTATTACTATTCATTATCATATTTGAAAAGGTTGGCTGGTCCAAGAATGTGACTTGGAATTTCACATACTGGTAACATCTGCTTAGAATATACTTAAGTGTTGCATATTTCTCTAGGTTACAGATCAAGTATCCATTTTGGGGTTCTATTAAGTATTTAATATCCTTGACTCTGATAATTAATTGTCTATTTCAATTCTCCAACCTCAATGAAGCAATTATTTCAGTCTCGAGGAACAGAATTTTCATTATTAAATTCTTAGTTTTGATTCAAAAATAAATGCATTAAAAAACAAGATAATTCAAGAATAATTAAAATTTTTAATTCAATCTCATTAAATATGTAAACCACATATGGAGATCTAAATAAGTATAAATTTTAGAATTGTCGTTCATTTATAATTAAAGCTTTAAATCGCTAGAGGGTTGTTTATTAAATATTGGTTTTATGCATGATAAAGAGTGATATGGGTAAAATAGACAGAGAAGAGAGAAAATTAATATTTCATAGTCACAGAGGTAATATGTTTCTCAACGTAGAATATTTACCATGTAACCAAAGTCACTAGTGAATCTCCTATTTAATTTCTACAAGCTCAGAAAGACTCGACTGTCCACTCGAAATTTCAAACAAAAACTTATTCTCTAGAAACATTGCAGTCCTATATTTTATACATTAAATATTTCCAACAATTGTGTTTATTTCTATACAGGAACGTGAGATAAAGTGTAACTCGAAGAAAAAACGTCAATCAATAAATTAATTCAAATATCAATTAATGATAATAATTGTTGATGCATTAATCAGTTGAAAAACTGATAAGAAAAAAATGCAATAACAGTTTTTAAACTCATTTTAATCAATTAGTAAATTTTCTTAGGTGTTTTAGTTGGCTTCTTGGGTTCCACTTTACCCTTCCTTTCCCAATTTTATTTTTATTTTTCTGAAATAGTTATTTTATATAGTAAAGAAATTATCAAAAGTTTGATTATAAACTTCATCAGTGATCAACTCTACTATGGATCCTATTTAGATACTTTGGTATTTCGGTTCTGTCGCCATCGAAAATCAAAGTTTACTTCATCAAACTGATCAGTTATGTACCTCTCATGCTATACCGGAATGACTAATTATTTGTTACAAGGCCGTAACTTTACCAACTATACATTGACCATATATTGAGTCAAGAGAAATTTATTGCAATAATTAAACTATTTTTTTCATTAACAAAGATTATCTTTAACACGATTCTTTAACAAACTAATTATCGTCATCAATAAATATTTACCATGCCAATACTCCATAAAGCTTCATAACAGCTATTTATTAATTAAAGTCATTTTCATTCCTGAAAACAACAAAAACTCAATAACAGATTAGATAATTTTTAAGTAGTTATTTCATTTAATTAACTGATGATGCATGATTTAGCATTAACGTATAATAGAGGAGAAATAGATGATAGATGAGGCGATCAGATAATTATCAGTATTATCGCGAATCAATTTGCAGAAGCGTTACTCTTAATCGACACAAGTAGATCAAATAGATTAACGTAGAGTAGTAGTGCATGGTTGGTTCATTTGTCCAGTGCTAATCACCACTGGAATTGTTTGTAGCTACACTGTGTTGATACAAATACTTTAACTCATTTCCTGTAATTTACATCGACATACTGATGATAAGAGGAATATTTTAGAGTGGTCTAGACTGAAATATAATCACTTTGCGGTAAAAAGCCTATTGTTACAAGGGAATTTATTCAATGTATTAGAATTTGATAACTGAATTAATCAATCCTCCAATGTTTCTACTGAAAAATACAAAGGTTAATTAATAGATTATTGATGGATACTTAAATAAGTATCGTTTAATGATGGGTAATTAATTATCAAGGACTTTTAATAAACAATGACTTATTTTAATTTTCAAGGTGGAGTTATAAATATATTGTGCTCGACTGCCCTACTGATATGGCCAAGGACATTGTAGTCAGCCATGTAAGAGATATTACTCTTGGAAGAAGGACTTATCATTACCTTCTAAGTGGCTTGGTATGTTATATGAGTTTATCAAATTTTTACTCTTTGACATGACATTATTAATTAAATTTTTTATATTCTCATTTACGTACCATCTTTGATATTGTTTAATATAATAAATTAAATTATTTTGTCTGTCGTTGAAATTTAATTAAATGCTCACTAAAATGTTCTTTTATGAAACCTTTTCAGTGATAGTGATTGTATAGAGTTATTAAAAATTGTCATTTACTGTACATTCAAATATTTATAATAACATTTCTTAAAATTATTGTCAAATGTTGTTGATCTTATTCTTATGAAAAATTTGATTGACTTTTATTATTTTGTAAAAATCAACGTTAATGAGATTATTGCGATTGAATCTTTGAGAGAGGGACGAATCCCTGGTTTAATTCTATTTCCGAACAGAAGCGAGTGTGATTACGTGAAACTTTATTAGTCTGGCAAACAAGAAAGTATGAGTGGAGTTTTATCTCGTGGTTTTTAGGGGTGAAATACACGCTCGAGAAAATGGATTTTCCATGCAGTAGGAGAGAAAAAAATTCCATCAATTTCACGTTAATTCCATGTAATTTTTATTATTTTTTGTATTCCATTATAAATAAAATGAAAAAAAAAAAAAAATAACAAAATAAATAAAATTCAATTCTGTATCATTCACATGATTCTTTTTCTATTTTCATAGAAATCTATGGATTAAAAATAGTAAAAGACTGTGAAAGTGAATCTCTTGAATTATTCATAGAAACTGAAAATAATTTTTTATTGCTGGCTATAGGATGTGATGAAAGTGAATATGCATGGATTGGTGTGAAAAATAAAATTAAATTATTGAGGCAGATAAACAACATTCAAAAAACCAATAAAAATACTTTATTGATTGGTATCTTGATTCTTTGAGTTTTGTTTTCTCTAAACTAGACTAAAATGAAGAGTGCAGTTCAATTAATCATAAAAAAAAGAAAAAATACATACCAAATTATAATTTTACTTAGTTGGGTTAAAAAAGTTGATGACCTCTTAATAATATTACATAGTGCCTATAAACCAACACTAGTTATTGGATAGACATAGAAACCATTTAATGCGTCGAGTACAGCGTCAAGTACTTGAATAGATTAATTCTGAATTGCACAAACATACCCATCGGTGTGCACTAAAGGATCATCAAAACCTGGGTTAAGAGGAGCTACATTGATAGAGATTTCACGTAATTTTCGACCTTTCCATTCGATTGAAATAAATAACAATCACAATAACGAATTAATTACAATTATAAATTTATAATAGTCCATTTTCCAAACTATTAATATTCAACAAATATCAAAATGACAAGTTTTTTTTTTATTAAAGTTCAAACATCACTTTTCATTTAATATCAAGTTATTAAATTAACATTGCTTTTCGGATATTTCCGTTCTGTAATAGTGTTCTTGTTCAATTAGATAATGGACGACCGATGGGAAAGTGAAGTAATCGAATATGGAGCTATTAACATCACTGGTTTCCGTATCGTTGATGCAAGTCGTCGACCAGTCAAAGAGTTCCTTGATAGTTGGCGTCGTCTCGATCCTATGACCCTACCTGGTGCTGGTCGTGACTCAATTTCCGTATGTACAATCCATTATTCAAAGTTCATCAAAATGCACTTGGAATTACTCTGTCAGAGGAACTACTCAAATTATTTAAACAATTGTGTGTATATGCTAAGTAGCTTCATCGACCATCATTATTTGGTGGAAAAAATATATTTATATTCATAGAATAAAGGGTTGAATAAAATTGAGTCTATATGATTTGTTTATTTGAATAACTGACAAGAAATATTTGAAAATATGTATCAAAATATCGAACTACTTATTTCTTCCAACAGTGATCGGTTGTTAGAATGAAAAAATCCTCTGAAAGAGTCTTTTCAACTCTTCCAAGTTTTCAGAAATATTTCATCAAGTCTTGAAATTTCCAGGCTCAAGCAGCATTGATGTATGATGCAGTATTGGTATTAGTCGAAGCATTCAATAAATTTTTGAAGAAAAAAATCGATCGCAGCAATCCTAAACGACCTGGAATCCAGAGTAATAATCAGCCTACGAATGTCTCTAGAACTTTGGATTGCTATGCTACTAACGGCTGGGACACACATTGGGAGCATGGTGATAAAATATCGAAGTTCTTAAGAAAGGTAAGAAGCAGAATTATTCAGTTCTTCTTAATATTATATTTCAATCAACACTGTTACTTTTTATAACATCATTTATAATTCACGTTATAAGCTTGAGATTTTTTTTCTCTATTAATAGAAATTGAACATCATAATGTTATTTATAAGTATCTTATTCCAGGATTACCAATAATATTTTATTATTGTTCGTTAAAAAGAAAAAAAACTCACAACCTCAATCGAAAATAAGTGAAGTTGTCACATGTCCGGACTAGAAGTAATTTAGCTGGTGAGAAGTTATTAGATTCCGGAAATAACGAACTCCGAACAGGGTACTCGAGACATTATCGTTGTGCACCAGATGTGCCCATTGGTTGTGTCTTATCCAGCACGTGTCGTTTCTACAGCTCTGCTATACTGTCTGACCAATATCGACTATGACCACTGACCCTTCCTTTACTACTACACCATCGAATATCGATAGTGGTCTACTTGCGGATACTCTCCAATCGTTAATTTCATAATAAAACACTAGAAAAAAGACAAAAAACTAGAAAATATGAAATTGAATTTTTATTGCTTTTATAAATTATAACCCTTTGACATTATATTTAAAAAAAAAAACTTTTAGTCTATTACTTATACTCGTGGCTTTAAAATTATATTGTCTATAGAACATAAATTTTTTTACTAATAAAAAATTTCAAGAAGTTAGAGAGAATTTTTTTAACAATTTTCTAGGGTGAAGTGATGTTTCAGAGAGCAGACATTCACATTTTGTCTGTAACTGACAGTAATTGGCATCTCTTCTGGAAAACAGATACTGGAATTCTTCTGTTTTTTCTTTTAACTAGAGGGATCAAGATTTATTCTTTTTACCTACGACTTTAGAATTTTTTATTCGTACTTTTATATCAAAATGCAAAGCTTTTTTTATAACAAAGTTGTTACAAAAATACAAAAATAGTCTCATTATAATCAATTAATTAAAGAAATTATTATTTTTACTTTCAATTACTAGCATAGTTGAACCTCCTTAACTTCTCACAGTCGGTCATATTAGTTTTAAGAATAAAAAACGACATAGGTCATCTTCTTAACAAGATAAAAAAAGAACAATATATAACTCCAAAATCTTTCTATTTATTTATTTACAGGCTGAGATTGAAGGGTTGACGGGACAAATTCGATTTAATAATGACAGTAGAAGATATAATTATACTCTTCATGTCGTTGAAATGACAGTGAATAGTGCAATGGTGAAGGTAAGTCATGCAAAAATATATTATATCAATATTTGCTTCTAATTAAGTCACTCATCTATGATGAATTGAAATTAGGTTGCTGAATGGACAGATGAAGCAGGTTTTCAACCAATTGCTGCTAAATATATACGACTACCATCTCAGGAAATAGAAAAAAATAAGACTTACATTGTAACAACAATAGTGGTAAGTGATTCAATTAACTAAATAAATAATAAGTTATTGAATAAATGATCAAAAAATTTTTTATTGATTGTTAATAGGAGGAACCATACATTATGCTAAAAAAACAAGAACCTGGGAAAGTACTAGTTGGAAATGACAGATTCGAAGGGTATTGTAAGGATTTGGCGGATTTGATTGCAGAACAGCTTGGAATAAAATGTAAATTATTCTTAAGATACTTATGTTTGGATTAAAAAAATTTCTATCATAAAGAAAAAGAAAATTGTAGAGAGAATATAATGAAATGAACATTGAAAATTATGTGCATTTCAGATGAACTAAAAATAGTGAGTGATGGTAAATACGGTTCAGAGAACCCTGATGTACCAGGTGGCTGGGATGGAATGGTAGGAGAGCTCATAAGAAAGGTACGAACATTAAATAAATGATTTAATAGGGTCTATCATTTATTAAATGAGTACTTAAAAGGTTTTGTTACTTTTCATATCCCTAATAGCGAGAAAATTGAATCATAATTTGTAGGTGACAGAATGAACATTTTTTAAATTAGAAAAAACTTGTACACTTTACAACACTTAATTATTACCACCATTATATGAGAATAATTGAACTGACATAGATGTAATTAGACACTTGAATTAGTACTTACACTTGAAAATAAGGGAGATTAATTATTGATTGTTATAAGAGAAGTATTAATTCATTTAATTGAGTCATAAATAAAAAAGTATCAAGAAATACAATATGAATTTCATTACAAATCAAAATAATTAGGTTTTATGTTTTAATAAATTTTTACGACGTAGCATCACACACGTAAACTGGCCATAACTGTTTACGTGATGCTGCAACACTTATATCGACTGTTCACTGATACAATAAATCGAATACTCTTGGGCTGTAACCAACCCCAACTTATAGACAGATTTAGAAAAAAAATAGAGGAAAAATACTGAACAAAATGATTTAAAATTATTCATGATAAATAAAAATGATTATCTTTATGAAGTGATCATCTAGAGCTCTGCTATTAAATGCATGTTGATAAAGTTCGAGTGTTGATATTTTCTCAAATGATCTGCAATGAATAAACAAACTTGGAATATTCTATTAATAATGAAAACCACATCACTCTACAGATAAGGTATAAATTGAGCCAAACCGAACTTTAATTAAATTTTGAAGGGTGGTATTAATATTCGTAGAAGCTTATACGATACGCAGTCATCGTCCAACGTATTTCCGAGTAATTTCATTGAACTACACTAGAATCCCCAAATAATATTACTATCAAAGCACATACACTTTCAGTAGAATAGTAAAGGGTTCTAAAATTATTTCGAGAATGAACGAAAAGTCCTTTCAAGAATGTGACTAGTATCCGATCACATCTATTATCTAGATCTTCCTATTTTCAATATTACAATTGCAAGTGATGTATACCGAGAGTAGAAATATATATATACATGAATAAGTCTAGTAAAACCATTAATATTCTCGCACTCCCCGTATAATTTCGTTCTCAGAAGGTTCCCCAGTAGCGAAGTTCCCTCACGTTACCCTTATAGACTATGGGGTACATATGGGGAACAAAATTTTTTTTTTTCTTGAAATTTTTACTTAATGAAATAATGATATATTGGCTAAAAACTGTGAGGCATGAAAATGTGCATAACTCCTATGCAAATGATGCTATAGGGTTGATTAAGGGCTCAAATAAAAGATCTGGACAAGAGGGAAAAAGTCGATATAGTTAAGATCCCAATTGGAGCCTGATTGATGCTAAAATTGAAGAAAGTTCCCGTTTTACCCCATTTTAGGGGTGAAAAAATTAATTTTTTTAAAGTTTGACCAGATTCCGCATTTCCACGCATCAAGACGAAGAGAATGAGTGGTCAATCATCAAAATCGGACAACTTTGATTTTTCGACCCCAAAAAATGGCAAGTGGTACCCCTTTCCATTTTTTTTGGCCAAAAAATAAAAGTACTCCGATTTTCGAGTTTGACCACTCATTCCCTTCGTCTTAATGCGTAGAAATGCGGAATCGGGGCACCGGTCGAGAAAATTCACTTTAACACCCTCAAAAAGGGGTAAAACTGGATACACATTAAAAACCATCATCCCCTTGACTTTAAACCCCTATAACTCATGAACAGACGGTCTAACAATTGTTTTTACGGACGTTTTAGAAACTTAAGAATCTGAGCTAAATATACATATTCATAAAAAATGTTTAAAAAATTTCCTTCGCCCTTAAAATCGCTAAAATATAAAAAAATCGCATTTTTTTGGGAAGTTGCCAACTATTTTGGCCATTTTAACGGTGAAATAAATTTTTTTAGAGCTTTATATGGATATGTATGTTAAGCTTAGATCCTGAAGTTTTTAAACACGTCTCTGAAATCATTATTAGATGCATTTTGTGAGAGTAATAGTGGTCCAAAGTCGAGTAGGAGACAAAAAACCATCTACTTTTTGACTTTGGATCTTTATAACTTGTGAAAAAATTATCAAACGATGATTTCAGAGACGTGTTGTGATGTGTATATTTAGCTCAGATTCTTAAGTTTCTAAAACGTCCGTAAAAACAATTGTTAGACCGTCTGTTCATGAGTTATAGGGGTTTAAAGTCAAGGGGATGATGGTTTTTAATGTGTATCCAGTTTTACCCCTTTTTGAGGGTGTTAAAGTGAATTTTCTCGACCGGTGCCCCGATTCCGCATTTCTACGCATTAAGACGAAGGGAATGAGTGGTCAAACTCGAAAATCGGAGTACTTTTATTTTTTGGCCAAAAAAAATGGAAAGGGGTACCACTTGCCATTTTTTGGGGTCGAAAAATCAAAGTTGTCCGATTTTGATGATTGACCACTCATTCTCTTCGTCTTGATGCGTGGAAATGCGGAATCTGGTCAAACTTTAAAAAAATTAATTTTTTCACCCCTAAAATGGGGTAAAACGGGAACTTTCTTCAATTTTAGCATCAATCAGGCTCCAATTGGGATCTTAACTATATCGACTTTTTCCCTCTTGTCCAGATCTTTTATTTGAGCCCTTAATCAACCCTATAGCATCATTTGCATAGGAGTTATGCACATTTTCATGCCTCACAGTTTTTAGCCAATATGTCATACGAGGGTAACATTCGGGGAACCTTTAGAGAACAAAATTTTTTCTAGAGGCCATTTCTTTCTTTTCGTCGTCAAACCTTAATTTTTTTTTAGATTGCATTGAGTTCTGTGTTTAATGAGCAATACACACCTCACACCTAAAATTTCTCAATTAGGATATAATTTATGAATATTCAAGTTTTTAAAAACATCTAATCTTTTTTGAAATGAATTCTCCTCGTAAATTGTGAAAGATTTAACAAATAAAAAGCTCAAAGACTTTACGGTACATTTTAACTGAACAAATAAAGTAATAATAAATGTTTCAAATTATAATTAAATCAATTTTTTAAACATAATAATTGTTTTTTGAAAAAGATGAATGATTAATTTAAATAAAACCTTTTTTTGTTAAAGAGCTATTTAATGTTTCACAGTCTTTTATGGTAAAAATATTTTCTAAATAAAAGGAATAAAATTGCAGGAAGCAGACATTGCAATAGCTTCAATGACAATTACATCAGAAAGGGAACGAGTAATTGACTTCAGTAAACCTTTTATGTATCTCGGAATCAGCATAATGATAAAGAAACCAGTGAAACAAAAGCCTGGAGTCTTTAGCTTTTTAAATCCTCTCAGTAGAGAGATCTGGGTCTGCGTAATATTTTCTTACATAGGAGTTTCAATTGTTCTCTTCATCGTTTCTAGGTAAGTCAGCATTTCTATTTATTTAATACTTCAAATTATATAATCTCAAGTTCTTGATGGATTAATTGTTGATTTTGTTGTCAGGTTCTCACCGTATGAGTGGCGAGTTATACAGACAAATGTCGGTGGAGATCCAGGAATGGTTGGTAGGGGTGATCCAAGCCTTCAACATCCTCATACTCCACAGTCATCTCTTCATGCGGCCAATCCCTGTATGGCCAATGACTTTAGTATTCTCAACAGCATGTGGTTTTCTTTGGGAGCTTTCATGCAACAAGGCTGTGATATTTCACCGCGGTAATTTTCTAACTCAAATTTAACAGAAGCATATTCATGAAGATGTCATCATTGTACACAATCTATATTCTCTTTATACAATTCACTCTATTATACTTGTTAAATATACACATTGAGAAAGAAACTTTAATTAATCCAACTTACTCAAGTACATAGAATTAATAAAATGACAACTTATTCTCTTATAATTTTAAATGAATTCATTAAAATTTATTGGAGCTCATAAAAAAGTAAAAATTTCTCGAGTACTGTTTTAAAATTTTTTTAATATGTAATAAAAATAATAATGCTTATTATCATAATTTTAAAATTATTATAATGATCAACAACTAGTTGAGTTATAAATCTCTTCATTTAATATTCTATTAACAATATGATACAGTATTCATAGCTGTTATGTAATTTTCAAAAAGTAAAGAAGATTATAACTCATTAGATATTAAATCCTTCATGTACTTATGAATTAATGTCGGGAATGGAAATATGAATACACACATTATACACAAATACATACTTTATACACAACATTCTGGCCATTGTTGATAGTTGTTTTTTTTTATAAATATTTTTTTATTGAAAGCAACTATTATATAACAAAAAAACCATCCAGTAACGGATGTAACTGGAGGAACTGTTACAGATCAATGTCAGGGCGGATTGTTGGTTGTGTTTGGTGGTTTTTTACACTCATAATCATCTCGTCGTACACTGCCAACCTTGCAGCATTTTTGACAGTTGAAAGAATGGTGACACCTATAAATTCACCGGAAGATCTTGCATCACAGACAGAAGTTTTATATGGAACACTTCATCATGGATCTACATGGGACTTTTTTCGAGTAAATAAAATACTCTTCTTCATCAACATTTTATTTAATATTGTTAACATTACTAATTTTCACTTACAGAAGTCTCAAATTAGTCTCTATAGTAAGATGTGGAGTTTCATGAATGCAAAGAAAAAAGAAGTTTTTGTGGATACTTATGATGAAGGAATTCGAAAAGTAAGACAAAGTAAAGGAAAATATGCATTACTCATTGAGAGTCCTAAAAATGAATACATAAACGCAAGAGAGCCTTGTGATACGATGAAAGTTGGTAGGAATTTGGATGCTAAAGGATTTGGAGTAGCAACTCCTATTGGATCCCCTTTAAGGTATTTAATACACATCTAGATGAAGAATTTAGTTAAGTTTTTAGCCTTTCCCATCAACTAATAATGATCTTTTTAGGGATAAAATAAATTTAGCAGTTTTAGCTTTAACAGAAAGTGGAGCATTAGAAAAACTGAGAAACGAATGGTGGTATGATAGGGCAGAATGTCAACATAGAGAAAAACAGGATGCAAGAAATGAATTATCACTAAGTAACGTTGCAGGAATATTTTATATTCTCATTGGAGGATTGTTACTAGCTCTTGCTGTTGCTTTATTGGAATTTTGTTATAAATCTCACACTGAAGCTACCAGAGCAAAGGTATAATCAAATATGAAATTGTATTCATTTTTCGTTCCTTTTTTTTATCTTTGACTTTTTTATATTCAGAATTGACAAATTATTTCAGATTCCATTGTCAGATGCAATGAAAGCTAAAGCACGATTGACAATTGGTGGTGGCCGAGACTTCGACAATGGGCGGGTAAGTAAAACGACTTTTCCATCATCTCTTTAAACAAAAAAAATAAATTGGAAATATTCGAGATGATAGTCGATAATGTTTAAAATTTAAAATATTAAAAGTTATTGAAAATTAACTATATGCTGAGAAAAACAATACTTCTTGTTTATTTGATTATAGTTTAAAGAATATATTTACGATGTAAAATAATCTTAAATGAATAATATATGTTTTTTGAATTAGAAAATATACTTGACAGTAAAATAAATTTTTTTCTCAGCAACAAGGATTAAAAATAAAACTAATAAAAGTATAGAAAAATAAAAATAAATGGATCAATGGTAATGGAGCAAAATTTACAATGATTGTCAACTAATGTAATCATTCGACGCATAACCGTGAAACTCAGTCCAACAAACTAAAATGCAAGTGATTGCTTACTCGCTCTTTCATTCCCGCTATCCTCTTTTGCTACCACTCGTTGATTGTTACTGAATGAGCTACGAATCAGATTGGCTTCAATCAATTGAACAATCTAATAGCTATCGTTAACCGAAAAGCTAGAGATTAAGTGCCAAATGAACGAAACAACTGGCATGTACATAGAACTCTTAAAAATTCATTGAGTTTATAAATTTTTCTTTTGTCAGTGTTAATATAATACGAATGATAATGATAAAATAATCCAAATATTGTCCATAAAATGTCAAAAGATAAAAAAAAATTATTTCCATGTATACAAAATACATTCAGTACTAGCAATTTGTTTATTTATTGATAATTACGTGTAACTAGACCACGCTTAGCATGCCATTAGCAGCCTTGTTTACAGAATTTCATTTGAATATTAAATGAAAATAAAATAAAATACATACACAGACACATAAACACATTTTTTAAAACCAAGTAAACGATTAGATTGCTAATTGTTGATCATTTATGAAAACCGAATGTTACCGTTATATTTAAGGGCTGAATTTTTGAACGCTATGACGTTTTGAAAATTATTATTTTTATTATTATCGTTAAATTATAATTTATGATTAATTGTTTATCAGTTGTCCTCTGTACAATTGTAGATAGTTAAAAGAAAAACAGGCGTTATGCAGTGAGTTTATTTTCTACTTTTGCGTTTTTTCATTTTTTCTCTAGTGGTACGGACTGCAGAGTTAGACGGAGGATGCATGCGCCTTTTCCGGGACCATATGTGAGTACTTTCGCCCTTTATTTTTATTCCCATTTTTTTCAACGCCGATATGCTTTCATTAATCAATTGATTTATTATTATCCTATTATTAATTATATCTTCTGTAAATATTTTTTCATAATTATGAATAATTATTTGCTTTTTAAGTACTCCTTTCATTAACATTTTTCTTAATTTACGGTTTCTATCGTGTAATTTCATCATTTCGACGCTATTAAAACCTTGTAAAAATTTAAATTAAATTAAAAGCTAACGCAAACATTAAAAGCATGAAGCTGGTGAACACGTGAATAGTTTTGCTCGTCGTTGCATGAAACTTTTTCTACTTCTTTCTTTGATGTACCGACAATCTTTCAGGATCTGTATATTTTTCTTTTTTGCTCTTAATCGCATCTTCAGGTGAGCTTAGGTGGAATTAATATTTTGTCATTGAAACATCATTCAGGATATTCTATCACAAACTGTCATAAAATGTCATTATCTGTACCATGCACTAACACATATCATCTAACATTTATTCTTAAGTTTATGTAAAAGTACTAGATAAATAATTTTGTTGAATAAATTCAAAAATTATCTGCTTTAAGGCTATGTTATAATTGATTTTATTTAATTACAGCTGTTGGTTTTGTTGTTTATGCATAAACAATAAATATTGCTTTCATTTTTGGAAATTATTTCAGAACTTTGTCAGCTTAAATCTTGAAATGAATGAATATTCACGTCATAAATACTTTTTACATTAAAAATCGACAATTTTACTAGATTTAGTATTAGCATATGAGTCATAAGCTGGTACTTTTATAGATAATTGGATTAAAAAAAAAGTTATACGCATAATAACATGTTTTATACAGTAAAAACATTACAAGTACACCATATACTTTTGACAAGTATAAAATAATATTCAAAACCATAAATCTTCAGATAAAAAAATCTGTCAGAGTTGAACAAGCCATTTTTACTGTCTGAAGCATAAAATATCACATAGTAAAATTTAAATATAAATTGCACTTTCTTTCCAATCATTAATCAAAATGACAGCTTCTGTTTTAATCGATGAACTGATTATCGAATAATAATTGCAGTATTACGCCCCGGCGAACGCGATTGGGAACACCGAGGGCGACCAGGTGCGCAGCAATACGCATACGCAGGTATAAGCCCTTGGTATACAGCCAGTGACGAAACACCGGAACCATCACCATCAATATCATTGCCAACACCACCACCACCTCCAAAATCGGTTCCTCCACCACCACCTCCACCTCCAAGGCCTGCTCGAAGAAGTGTTACTTTTGCAGAATCGCCACCTAAAAGTCCACGGAGTCCAAAAAGTCCACGAAGTCCTTGGATTTTTAGGCGGAAATCTAATATTACTACTCTTAATGTAGCAGTGCCTTGGACACCGGCAACACCCAGTCACTGGGACAATCGTAAGGCCGAATATATTACGTAAATACTTCAGATAATTTTTTCTATTTTTCAGAAAACAGTCAAAATTTTTGAAGGAATTTACATGCGGCTAAAAGGCTTGTATCTGAATATCATATTCTTGGTATTATTTTCTTAAATTTATTTATTTATTAACTATTTAAGATGAATGACAAAAGACTTATCTTAATCTTAATCTTAATTGAATAAATATTGTACAATTTTGTACTTATATTAATGATTATGATGTATATTGTTTTTGATATATATTTATGATATATTGAAGGATAATTCAAACCAAAGCGATGTTCATTAATTAAACTTTAGTTTAATTACATAAATAAATGAAAGAAATTAATGCTGAGAAATAAAAAGTTTAAATTAATAAAAAATGTTTATATACTGTAAATAATAGGACGCAGATCAAATAATAATCAAAAGTAATTTTGAACATACTGAAAAAAATTAAAATGATTAAACGAGAAATAGTTAATGATGATATGGTCCTGGAAATGGTACATGTAATACTGGACAAACTGAAACATTTAACTGCCAATTGAATATGAATAATACTTACAATAATGAAGTATTAAATGTAGTTTTATGATTAATTAAATAAACTCCATAATAATTGAACTGATGAACGAAAAATCAATAAAACATTAATAAAAAAAAATAAAATCACATATGTAACATGAAATTCGGTACAACTAAAAATTTTTTTATGCTGTGTTCAGAATTTTAAGAACTGCGAATTTTTAAACTAATTATTAACTACTTAAAATAAGCGTGAATGTAATATCGATGTTTATTAAAGAGTTTCGAGTGAATGGGAATATTGAATAATAATTTAAGTCTTATTGATATGAGTGAGTATGTTGAAGTATCGAGATAGAATTATTATTATAACTACTGTATGCGTACAGTGAGAGAGAAAATAATTTCCAGATGATTAATAATCATATTTTACCAAATTTTTTAAACAAAGATATTAAACAAATTATTAACTATTTCTATAAAAGTAAAATTTTTAGAATAATGAAAATTATTTGATTAAATATTAATCCATTTATATAAGACATTTATAAAAGCTTTATTTCAAATAATATATTTTTTTCTCTCATTGTACAATATAAATATAGATATACTATACATAAATACTTGATAAAATAATACTAAATTAATTGAATCAATCCAGTATTTTTATTATAATTCATGAAACATTTAAATTACCGATATTCGAAAAAAGTATTCTGATTTATCAACAGTCTGAAAACACTCGATCGTCGGTATTCCAACTACTGATAAACCAACATCACACTTGTTTTCTCCGATGGAAAATTTTTAAATTCCATCGAATTTTACTAGAGGGCGAAATATTATATTTTCATCGATCAATAAATAATTCAAACAATATTATCAAGTTTTGTAGCATTATTAATTGGTTAATACTTAATAATAATTGAATATGTAATGATATAATAATAACCAACATCATTAATTAATGATAGATTTTTTTTTTGAGTTCGGATTGATGCAATTGAAGGAAAATCAGAATGGCAAAGTTGAGTGCCAAAAGACGATATAAAGTGATCGAGTCTTCTGTTGCAAAAAAAAAAAGAAATTATAATTATAAAAAGAACTTAACTGAAGATATTCACAGTTTTTAATAATAAAAAGATATCAAAATGTTTTATAGAAAATATTAGATGTTTTAACAACATTGGACTCGATTTGAAAAATCAACCATATATTTTATGTAATACGACGTATAAAACTGTGGATAAAAGATTATTTAAATATTTCCAATATTGAATTTAAAAAATTATAATTTAACAGAAAATAATGAGTTGAATCTTTGATGTTTGTTACTCGCTGTAATAATCATGTATTAACTTAAAAAATAATTGATTGTTTGTACCTAGAGAATTATTTAATAAGAAAACCCATGATAATAAACAGTTTTGTATGTCGTCTTAGGATCTATCATATCGTCATTTTTCTCATAATTATACCAGATCATATATAAGATACAATAAATAAGAATTTAATGATAAATCACTCAGTCAGTTTAAGGAGAATTCATTAAAATGATAAACGAGTATAATAATTAATGATAACGCTAATTTGACAGAAGAAAACGACTATGGTGCACATAACGTTAAAGATGATACCCTTATAAAATAATAAATTAAGATTACATTAATTACAATGTTAAAAGTTCCCAGTGTGATTAATCCTATTGTATTTAAAAATACGTACAGATTAAAGAGTGAATGAATCGTTGACACTTATGAGTACATGACAAGCTTTTAGCATAAAGGAATTCTTTTGTAACTGTTCAAAAAAAATTTTTATTACAGAATTGTCATTTTAAATACTAATTACATTCAAAACAATGCATTCTTTTATTTCCCTATAGAGCTTGACTCTTTACCGTCCTGTATTTTCTGATTCAGGTAAAAACCCTTGTATAAATCCTAAAATAAAATAGATGGTATCATTGTAATTTAATGTTCATTATTAATGAAGTTACAATATGTTTGTAAATGATTAAATATAACAAACTTCTGTATAACTTCTTTATAGTAATATTTATGATTGTGGAATGACTATTGTAAAACTGTTGTAAGCCAATCAAATTTGCATCAATATACGATCATTTATTTAACATAATAAACTTTACTATCATTTCAACCTATTTTCGTATATTTTAACAATAGTAGTCGATCAAAATATTCACTAATTAAAATCTTTTGTTGTATAAATAACATTTAATTCTAGATAAATGGAAATTTTTCGAGTATCAAACATAAAAAGAGCATTCAAAATGTATTTAAATACTAATTGACTAGATCTATTCAAATTTAAAGAACGTTTGAATACACGATTCAATTAAAAATAAATAAAAAATAACCAATCTATAAACCAGGATGAGTTATCAAAATAGCATCAATTAGTTTTGACATGAGACATTGGAAAAAAGATAAAATAAATGGAAATAAACAACATACTGTTTCTCTTTTATCAAATAGATCAATAGATATGAGTCCTGGAGGCATTTTACAAGTTCTGAAACAGCAACATGTTCATGCTGAGACATTGCTCATCTACTAAAAAATAGTGTATAACAGCGAACAGAGAACATGCGTTCCACTGAGGATTGATGAAGTATTGCCTGGGTCATACACTAATTCTATTTTAGCCATTTTATGCTGTACAATCAGTTGATGAAAAATATATATAAATTGTTCGTTCAATTGATTTTTTTTAATCAACCAAATTCTATTCATACTATATGCTACTGGTTTAAAAAAACTGTTATGACTCTCCATAATAATTATATAATAATTTTTTAAATTTAAATGTTTTAAATTTTCAATTTTGCATACAGATAATAATAATGAAAAAAAAGCTTTAATGAAGACTAAAATTTAATTATTTAAGAGATTGCTTTTTCTGTGAATTATCAAAGGAGTGATAAAAGATATTCTTTGTTTTTAGGATTATAACTCTGAAATTATAAAAAATCCTTCTTACATGAAACTTGCAGCATTTCAAGATGTAGTTCTATGCAGTAAATTAAATTATTAGTGGGGATAAAATTTTCATGACCGCAATGGAAGCATTAAAATATAAGCAGTTATTTTATCTTAATTGAAACATTGAATAAAATAATATCAGGTACTTTTCATTTAAACCAAATGTCAATTTCGTGTTCTTTGAATAAATTTTCTAAAGAAAGATAATAGCTGTAAACACTATCAATATTTCTGTAAGAGCGATGTGTTCATTTAGCTAGGTAATATGGTATATCTATGAGGCAATGCATCCAATGAGTTTTCACTTGCTAAATATTAAATGTCTCACCCAAGCCTTGATAACAGCTACAAGAGTAGGGGAATGAAATGCATGGACTGGGCTTTCAAAATTGCTGCACTCAAGCGAAGAGTTTTAATGAGAGGTGAAGTACGTATTAAAACTGAAACTATTAGTGCATCGAAGCCCGGAGAAATAGAATCACAATAGCTCTTGATCGAGAGAAGAAAAGTTGAGCGGTGTTTATTCGTTTTGTTTTCTATTATTATTTTTTTACTGCACGAGTAGTTTAATAATAAACTACATTATAATCAGAAAATTCTGCACCAAATTCCAGCCCATTTAAATTTACAAACTCATAAACGAATGCTAAAAATCACGCTTTATATGAAAAATTGTTCTGTTGAAAATTTAATGATCGAAACTTTAAGAGTTTTACGGTCATTAAAACATAAGTTGATGATCTTCAAGTCTTTTTTATTTTTGACAAAAATAAAATTATAATCCTTCACCACTAAAAAAAAACTCGTCGATTTTGTTGCATAGATGCTATACACTCTTTTTAAATTTAGATATCTACAGACATAAAATATGTGCTGGACATAATCTATAATTCAATAACCAATTTTACATCCCCAACTAAAAAAGCCTCATAGAATTCTTTAAATTTTGTTAAAATAACTGATCAAATTCTGAGCTAATGATTTATACCTAAACAATGAAAATTTTTTGAAATTTCTTGAAGTGATGAATCTATTAAGAGCAGAAAAATTAATAAATTCTAGTAAAGCTTCACCATTGGTATTACTATCACATGAACTGAGCACATATGTCAAATAAGCTAAAATTCACGTACTTCCGGTGATCACAAGACGCTTCGTGAAGAGAATATTGCAACGATAGGCTAAATAAATGGAATTGAATTGGCTCCATCGTGCTTTCTACCGTGACATCTGAAAAAATAGAGACACGTTATTGATGATTTATGGAGCTGCATGTATATATTTATATAGATCTGTAAAGGTATCTAACCATTTCTAGCATTTTATCCTTTTTTCGCACTTATTTCAGACCAGGTTTTATATATACCATCGCCACTATCAGTGTGAAAATGTACTAGGATTTCTAGCTCTTGCATAAACCATTAAATGCTACTCCGCAATGCGGTCCTCTTGCTCCTCGTTTTTTCTTGACATCCTGCAAAAATATTATATCAAAATAATGGTAAAAAGTCCTTAATAGCAGTTATTATTATTACATAAATTATTATGAGAGTGGCTCTTTTAGTAAGTCTTAATTTCGCAGTTGAGTTATTGAAATATGTTTTGTGCTAATTTTTTCTTTTTACTGTAGAATATTTCTCTTATTCTACATCAACTTAATGAGAAGTGAAAATGTACTACATCTAGTCATATACATGTTTTTAATAGAAAAGGTTTTATATCAAAGACAATAATTTGTCTATTGTGTAAATCAATTGTGATAATAAAAGCGAGAAAAGAAATCTGCAATCCAGTTGTCAAAGTGATTTAAACCCTACGACTGTTATTCAAACTTTAAAATTATAGTTTTCATCAATGTATAGATGATTTTTTTTATATCATTTATAGGTCTATGATGATATTGACCGTTTTTTATATTCCCTCTTCTCATCATTCTCAGCGGAGCTTCGATAAAAGGCTAAAAATAATATTGTTCTCGATATAACTTTGTACATTTTCTACTCTAGATGTATTTAAAAATTACTCTTTTCTGTAACACTCTTTACTTTGTAAAAAAAATAAAGTAACATCAATTATTCTGTTGTAACTAACAGTAAATATAAGAAATTTTTCCATTACATGAAAATTCAACCGATAAATATTTCATTATTATCATTAAAAGTAAAAAATCTATGAAATAAATTTATTCTAAGAATTATTCACATTCGAGAAAGATTTTACGTAAAACTAACTGTAAAGAGCTGGAAAAATTTACATTTTAAAGAGTAAATAATTCCGTCTGTGAAATGGCGTCCATTGAAATGACTTAGATAAATACACAAGTCCAGAAGAAATGTACACCTATTTTCTTCTATCAGTCATGAAATTTCAATGGCTTGAGAATTAAATGTCTGTCACGTG